AATCCATGAAACTTTTTGCTTCGTCTCAAAACAGTTTGGTTCTATCACTAGTTTTCTCATGCATGTATTTTTGGCTTCTGTTGCACCTATAGATTAGATTTTTTCAGAAAAGTGAAAAAGAAAGGACCACCCTCACTCATGCAATAATTTCTCAGCCCAAAGTGTGGAATAGTCACAGAGCTCTTTCTTACAATGATTTCAAAGATATTATGTTTTCTAATGAGAGGAATTCAGGATGTTGTGGTCTGATTGGTTCCCTTCACTGATCTGGCCGAGTGTAACATGTTCTCCCAGCTTCTATTATGCAGAAAGTTGCGCAAATTATCATAAAAAAAAGTTGCCAGATTATTGTGTCCATCTTTCATATTAAATATGACCAATCAACCCACATCGAGTTGGGCCATAATGGTGCTCGCTTCTAAAATAACAACATGCACCACAAGCAACACAACAACAAGCAAAGGAACAGAACCCGAGTGCACAATGGGGCAGTGTGTGGGACCCGGGGGCGCAGGCGGGGCTCCCCACTCTGCCACCCGGACCGCTTGACGAGGAGCTCTAATTACAAACACTTTTGGACTTCCTCATCATCAGCGTTCAAAAAGGAGCTACGACTCGGACTCATTTTCATAATCGTCAACAATAGTGACTTTGGAATGCACTTGCCCCGGCTCAGAGCCCTGACGTCATCATAGTGTTGGCTTTGATGCATAAGAGGTTGATTTGAACGCAAGCTAGCTGAGGTAAATATCCTTAAATGGGCACTAGCTTCCATAACAGCGGGAGGAAGTGTTGCTAAGGAGGTTGTTAAGGAAAGCTTCCCTCAACAAATGAAGGCATCTGAGTGGTCAAGCCCTATATTTCACACATTTCAGAACATGTTTATAGAGTTGTAAGCTATAATACAACAAGACATTCAATTTTTTTTAAAAGTATTAAGTATTTTTTATCTTTATTGTCTTGTCTCATAAAATTCTCAAATTTTGACAGTACATCATTCAATTTATGAATAATTATATATTTCTTATTTTAGAAAGAGAAAACAAGATTTAATTTAATTTTATTAGCTTTTCTTTAGTGCCATTTTTTTAGGAAAATAACTTAAACAATTGCAGTATTTGCGATCTTCCGATTGCAACCACACAAATTGTAATTCATTCATTCATTTTTACCCCTATTTAGTCCATTTCTGGGTCGGGGGGGGGGGGGGGGGGCAATCAGAGCTGCCACCCAATGCTCATAGCACCAGTTGTGATTTTGATTGATAATAAACATGCAACCAAATCATGCATGCAATTTCTGCAAACTTCTGTTCCAGCAAACAGCTTCACACTGTGTTCCATCCATGTCAAGTGTAAAAATGATGAGTTTTTCAAGGTTTCCTACGAACAGACCAGAGCGTACTCATTTATGCTCCGTATGCATTGCGTGGGTGGCTAGAGTAGGAAGATTCAAGGCTAAAATGTCTTCTTCATCAATTCAGATTTTGTACACCTCGTAATGAAATAGGCACCTGGAGATGTGAGCGTGTCTCAGATTCTTCCTCAAGGTAAAGTCTTTGTCGAGTTTCATTTGTTAACGAAAAAGACGATCTGCTTTGAGTTATGGACAAGCAAGCGATTAAAATCACAGTCATTTGGGTCTATGTTTTTTGACGGAAAGAAGTATTAACTGGGAATGTGATTGCTTCAAAGGGATTTTGGTGGCTGTCAAATTTTGAAAACACTTTTCCGAATCCACTGTTATTATTTATTCATTGATCATTTTTGGACGAGCCGCAATAGTATTGTTTAATGGTATTGATTTTGGTAATGCTTCTTGTTATGTGCCCAAAAATAAAGCCTGTGAATACAAGCAAATGCAAAAGCGTTTTGTGAGCTAAAATCACGTCTCTTTACTTTTATTTGATTATCTGTGTAGCAGCAACAACAAATGTATGTAATGTAGTCATGCTCTATTAAAGAACAAGCTAATTATTACACATGTATGACGTTACATAATTGGGCTGCACGATCAAAAGCAATTGAATCAAAACCACAATTTCCATAAAGATCAGCGAATGGTAAAGGCTGCACTTTTTAAAGTTCTGAATCATTTATATATATATATATGTATTTTACTTTTATGTTTATTTATATGTTAATCTACTACAAAAGTGTTGGATTAGCACACTATAAACATGTTCTCAAATGTGTTTAATTATATTCCATTGATTTTTGTATCGCCTTAAATCACAACTGCAGTCATCTCGGACGACTTTACAATACATATACAATTCGATTCACCAACATCAGATTAGAGAATCAATACTAAACACATGGGAACCATTGGTCCGTATGGGGACGGGATGACCAATGTGCATAAATGTCAATAAATCTCCATAAATGCCCAGGGCCATCAATTAAATTCTTACCATCAGGATATCAAAAAATTGCACACAAATCGCAATAACACAATGGTAAATGTTTCCATTATCGCGCTGCACTGTTACCTACATAGACAATTATAAATAAAGACACAGCTTACATCCTGCGTTCTCTGTACCTTCGCTCTAAGTGTCGAGGCTTTCCCAATTTTGATGAGATTATCTCCGCTGAATGACTCTCTAAACTAGTGGCACACGATGCACACATTCCTCTCTGGTTCCTCTCTTTTGCAGGGTCCAGCTAATTTGCATTTGAACTTTTTTTTCTTTTTCTTTTGTTTTTTTTTACTCTTGTCCAAAATCCCTTTAGGTCAGAGGCTTGACCTGTGGGTCCTATATGTCACTGAAGTATAGGCACCTTTTCAATGGCCCCCTTCACCACAGCGCTAACCTGAAGCCTACGTGATGCTCAAGGGTCATTGTAGGGGGCTATCACTGGTGGTCATCTGCTCTGGCTTCGGGGCTAGAGTGGTCCAGCGTTTGGCGCCCATAGTCCTGGCTCACTCGGGTGTTTTGGTCATTGGGTTAATAGGATAAAGTGACCTGAGTTTGGCCCACTTAGAACGCTTTAGAAGGAGCTGGTCCGTGCTCCATTGCCCTGGTGGGATTAATGCAGATTGAGACCTTTTGCTTGGAAAATCTTAATCTCATTTTTTTGTGTGGTAATGCTCTAATAGGCAAATTGTTAAGACTTGGTGGTCTTTGGGTTTAAATAAAATGTTTTAGACCAAGTTTAGATAAGTGTCTTAATAAGTCTTTATGTTTTTTTTTCTTTTATATAGACCATGTGATTTATTAGTATTATTATTATTATTATTATTATTATTATTAAATTATGATTTACTGGAAAGCAGAACATGACCTCCCTTCTTTACAGGGGCAAGGCAAGACGTATTGATAAAAAACATAAAAACATATTGTAACATGTGTTAAAATGGACGGATAAATGGGAAAGACAAGTTTATTTGTATAGCTCAACTCAAAATGCTTTACAAAACAAGATAAGAAACGTTAAAATAATATGATTTTTTTTTTTAAATGTCAACTTCTTTCTCATTCCACAAGTAAAAAATAGCATAGTGCGTTTGTGTAACTTTTTTTCATTTTTATACTTGGAATTTGACTCTCCATCACGCTGTTCACTTTGTGCCTATGGGCAGGGTTTGAGGAGCCCTTTGAGATAAATGTTTCAAGATAAGTGCTTTTGTCAGTTCGCAATTAAAGAGGCCACCACCTCTTTTTTGGTGCCTGGCAGTCACAGAGTCAGTGTTTGTGATGTCTGACTTCCGTTAGCTTTAATCTTCTTTGCAGACATCTTCTAAAGGCTGGCACTGCTCGGCTCCTCTGGCAACAGCACAGGGCCAATTTACTCGCCCGATGTGAGGTGGATTTAGAGAAGACGGGATTTTTGGAGAGTGAACTTCAGAAATACTGTAGCTTTACGTGCAAAAGAAACCTTATTAATCTCACCGAGCCCCACGTGTGGAAGGCGCAACTGCGAATGCAAAAAAAAAAGGCCACCTAAGCAGATTTAGGAAAGCACATTAATCCTGGTCGCCCATCTGGTGCTATTGTTTAAGAGTGCAATGTATTTGAGGTATTTCTGCTGATAATGATTACTGACGTGTGAAAGTTAACCACGGAAGTTATGAATTACTGGTGTTTTATTTATTCATGGAACTTTCTGATGACACCGACTTACCCACAATACTTAAATAATAACCCACAATAGACACATTTACTATATTTTATTGCATTGCTGTGTCTACTTCAGGGTCTGACTGTCAAAGTGGGGTCATATCATTATAGGAAGAAACATAAGTAAAGTAAAAGAAGAAATACAAAACTAATACAAGCCATATTATAAAGGGTATCTATAAAGTCGGGCTAAAGTTGATTATGGGTTGGCTGAAGAAAACAAAACTAAGACTCCATTGACCAATTCATTGATTGATCAATTATAGACTATATACATAATTGCCTATCACAATACATATTTTCGTTGTACAAGCTACATCTATTTTAGTGACCGCAAATAGCAAATTATTTAGAGCATAAGTCCTTGTTGCATATGGCATGTATACATTTGTTTAGAGCTGGCTTACAAACTTGCATCACCACAAATGTCAAAAAAGGGTACTACGAGTTTAAACAAGGCAGTATTTCTATTAATTTTTACCAGTTTATCTGCTAATGGAAAAGGCAAGTCCAGTCTTATCTTAGTTTGAAGCACAGCGAGAATTTGCTTGTCATTACATTTCAACAGTGAAGATATTGTCAACTAAAGAAATGCAACGTTTTTGACTGTCCAAGGTTTTGACTCCAATATTGAATTCTCCTAGCGCGCTTTGAACATTTTGATAGCTTCATTACATACATTGTGAATCAAACTGTGTCCCAAACATCATCAAAACAAAAATTGTTCCCTATGCCGTGCCAGTTTCATTCTAAAAACGCAATATTTGTATGATGTATATTGGTTATTTTGAATGTGTCGTGTTCTTCGGATCTACATTTGTGGTTTGAATAATAAGTTATCATTTGTATGCTAATGAGAGCACTGTTTTGTTTGCAGATGCATCCCCTGGGACTATGTAACAACAATGATGAAGAGGACCTGTACGAGTACGGCTGGGTCGGAGTGGTGAAGCTGGAGCAGCCAGAGTTGGACCCCAGCTGCCTGACTGTACTCGGAAAGGTAAGAACGCGAGCTTTGGATTCATTTTCGCTGCTGTACGATTTGTAAGATGATTTTGGTGACTTAATATGAATAATCAGAAGATTAATGCATCAGTTTTATTTAGTGACTTTTTGACATGTCATTATTTTTTCACTCCATACCCAGTGGTGATTAACTACTACAGTAGCCACAGCTGCCCTGGGACATTGTCTGAAGCAAGGCAAGCAGTATATGCCATCTGCCCCTCCAATCACCACCAATCATTCATGCGCTCATACAAGGCAATGTGGGTGAAGTGTCTTGCCTAAGGACACATCAACAGTTTGACACTTTCCCAGAGGTCTCCCATCAGTAGACACGGTACACATAGGCCAATATAGGACATGTATAAAGTAGGGCTAAAATATCTACTTTTATCCCTACTTTATTGGACTGAAACACACAATGTAGGTATCAGACAAATGTGAAAGGACTTGGAACACCTGTATTTGAAAGTTTATGACGAAGTTGGTTCCCTGTATTTTCTCTGTGTGCATAGATTGGCCTGAAACTGAAGAATTGTGGGGATCTAGAGACTTTACTCTCCCCTTCTGTATGTGCCGTTTGCCCCTGTCCCTCCTCCCTGCCTTGTGCACAGGGAGTCGCAGAGTGGTATTTTATCATGCTTTAATTAAGTGTTCCTCTTAATGGAATGTACCAACATTCCCCTGGAGGATGGGGGGCAGCAGAGGGGACTCTCATTTATACAGAGCAAAGGCAGTGACAGAAAGAGAGCAGCCATTCATAAATTAAGAAGCCCATGTGTTGCAAAGACAAGTTCTTTCTTCAGCAAGGGTTGACCTAATGTATCACATCATATTTCCTCAGAGGGTAAGAGGGAAATATACTGTAGATAGTAGATTAATTTTATTCTTGGAACAAAAGATTCAAACTTGTCAGACAAACACATAACGGGTCATTTTGGTCATTAATTGATTGATTTATTTATTATTTATTATTTATTTAAACTATCTTACAGCATGGTAATTAATTTGACATAAATGAGCAGACATGTATCATTTAGGTTCAGGTTCAGGTCAATTTAGGTAAATTTGTCTTGCAGTTTGAGAGAGCTAGTCCCATACACACATTCATACATGTTCTAGATAAAGAAACTATACGTACAACAGAGAAACTAGTTCCTCTGTTTCAAAGTAGTCTCCAATTTTCTGGCATATTTACGCAAATGTTCATTAATATGCACTGTCCCTGTAATAAATAAATAAATAAATGAATAGGACACCGGTGACATTGAAACAAGTGTTTCAATTTAATACACTGTCAAATCATACATGAATATATAAGTACTCAAACTTCACTCAAACTCCAACATAGCGTAGGCAAAATGTGATTTTAGGACACAAACAGTTTCAATTTCATCCAAAATTATCCGGGTGTCCCTTATGGCATAAAATGAAAACATACTTTTTGCACTTCACTTCAACTTTATCTTACTAAAATGTACCTAAAATATGCTATAACCGCAATGTAAACGCAAGATAAAATGGGAGATAGCACACTTCGTAATTACTCAGGAGTCAGGAAGTCTCTAATTGACATTTTTATGCATCATTCTTTTGACACACAGTCCATGACATCCACACGACAACATCCCAGATCAAAATTGTGAGTTACCTTGAAACTACAATTACAACAACAAGCCGAAAATCAACAGATATCCAATCCGAGCAGACTCAGACGCTCATCACAGCTGGTTGCTTCACGTTGGCACCAGTGCTTTTGCCCTGTCCAGACGAGACACCGGCCCCTCCTCCCCCCGCCCCCCATACCCAGCGGCGTCCCGGGTCCTTTGCCCACTGGTACACAGTCACCCCGCCTAGTCTGCCACCCCACCCCTGCCACCCGCCCTGCCCGACTGGCCTCTCGCTGAACCCACAAGCCCACTCTTCTTTGCCGCCAAAAGTGTTATGGTATCGTCTGCTCAAATTAGATTCCATTTAATTACTCAGACCCAGCAATTGCACGGAGTGGAAAAATTGTTGTTTATTCTAATCCATGTCTAAATATAGTGCGTCTGGGAATACAATACTGCGGCGAATGCTAAAGGCGCTGGTCAACCTCGTTTGTAAATTTCTCCTTTGTGAGATAAATAAAGCATATCTTATCTTATTTTGTAGTTTAGAATAGCGCGGTGACAAGTTAATACATTCATCCCAACTAATCGATTATTCAAATAGTTGTCAAGTATTTTAATAATCAATTTGTCTGACTTGAACCTTACTGAGACTTAAACATGCTGAGAAGATACTTTTACGACTGCAGAATTAAATGAAAATGTATTCCCTAATTTTTTTTCAGTCAAACAGCCCAATGTGTAACAAGTCTCTATGAAGTTATCCAGGGGCATCACTTCAGTTTTGTTTTGGTCAAAAGCCCATTTTCACGTACCTTTTGTGGTCTAAATAACTAATCAATTAATTGGAAGCATAATTGGCTCATAGGTTATCAGTAACAGCCCTAGTACGGAATGAAAGGAAAATGAGAATGGTGAGAATTTAACACAATTGCATTTTCTTTGTCTCACTTTGCCTGTCCATTGTGTTTATGGCCAATATTGATTAGGGATATAATGTGTTGGTTTCCATTGCTTACTTGGCCACATAGATGAAGCTGATGCTGTTGTAGATACCAACCCAATACTAGATATTGTGTCTTCATTTGGAAATTAACCAAATTAACCAAAAGGCTGAAGTGTTCAGAAAATTGTAAATTTAAGTTGTGATTATGTAGATACTGGTATTGGATTATTTTTCACTGTGCAGGACATTGAGTGACTGATGGTGCTACAAAGTACAATTATCAGCCCAATATAATGACCATACTATAGATCTGTAATTTTAAACACTAAGAATCGACAAATTTGGTCAGTCTTAAAACAGGATTTGCTAATGGAACAAGCAAGACTCATAAATGCAGGGGCTGGTGGAAATAAAGACATGACTCTCAGCAAGAAGGTCCTGGGTTCGAATCCTGGTCGGACCAGGGCCTTTCTGAGTGGAGTTTCCATGTTCTCCCCGTGTCTGCGTAGGTTTCCTCCGGGTACTCCGGTTTCCCCTACCACTAAAAATATGTCCAATAGGCGACCCCGCTCCCATCTCTGTGTGGAGTGAGAGACAATTGCCCAATATTAACAATTGTAAACCGCTTTGAGACTCAGATCTGCAGTGAAAAGGCGGTATATAAATAAAGATTACTACTACTACTTACTACTATGATTGAATATTGATTTAGAGTTAAGCATTTTCCTTTGTTGAAAGATGAAAATTGAGCTGAATGGTATGCACTTTTGTTATCCTTTGGGGATAGTACAGTATGAGAGACCATGTCAGCATATCAGGGTACTGTATTTCAGAAAAAGGATGACTTCAGCATGCAGACACATTTGTTCCCCTGACCTCAACGTGTTGAGGCGCAGAGGAATAGGAGGAAAGAGGGTCTGTGGGGCTGTGCTCTGAAGTCCACGTGCTAAACCAAAGTGCTGCCGTGTCATGTATATGTACACAGTTTTTTCCTGCACTTCCTGTCTGCTTCCTGTGAGACTCAGAGATCGCTTAACCCTGACCTCCATGTGCCACAGCAGCTGCCCCTCCTCCATCGCCACAGAAAACCAACACCTACACTGCACAAAACCAACACCTACACTGTGCAATTGGTCAAATGTTGAGTGAGATCCAAACACTCATGGCCAATGATCAACTTGGGCCTTTGAAACCACAAGATATAGCATTCATTCAGTGATAGTGGACTCCAGACTTATTAAATAATACTTTCAAATTCAAATTGCGTTTGTGTTTTTATGTTCCTTAGGGCCGCCTCAAAGAAGAGATGATCCATCTCAATGGGGATTAGCTTACATAAATACAATTGAACATTAAATGCTGTATGCTAAACATTTCCTATGAAACTTTGTTCTGCAGAAATGCATTTAGAAATGTCCATGTTGATTGACCACACTGTAGGTGTGTGTGCTAAATTAATGAATATGAATGTCTGAGACAAGCAGATTGAGAAAGGACAATGGACCAGGATGAAACATGCAGACACAAGGAGAAACATGCAGACACAAGGAGAAACATGCAGACACAAGGAGAAAAGTGCAGACTATTGCATGTCCGAGTGAATAAGACAGGACACATGCTTGTGCTGAACTTCCTGTAATAGCTGTGAGTTCTGGCAGTTTCTGTGGAACTTGTCGTCATGTCGCTGGTTCATGTTGGTCGCTGTGCGTCTGGGATGTCCGTGCCAGAGCTGGAGAGCCAGGGACTGGGCCAGAGCTGGAGCCTTTGATCCCACTTGGACTCTCATGACATCAGACTCGAAGAGGGCATGGTGGCACACTACGGAGAGTGTGATTTCAAAGGGCTGAGGAAGAGTATTTTTGGCTTCTCTGGCCGATTACAAATGCTTAGTAAGGGGGTGGCTAGGATTTGTGTCTCAGTTGGTACATTTTTTTTGCAAAAAGCTGAAAAATGTGCTCCATCCTCCCACACAAGCCCTCATGCCTGGTGTAAAGCAGGCCTCTTGGCTGTGTTGCTGGTATGTAGCTGTTGTGTGAAGCCTGGCACTACCCTCAACAGCTCGTCTCCCCCCGTGACTGAATCCAACTTAAGCACCAGCCAAAGACAACATTTCACTGCAGCAGAGCACAACTGGTCCAAGACCGGCCGGCCACTACAAAGCAGCGCCAAAATAACTGCAGCAACAGGACAGGTTTCAAGATCATTGCTGACGTATCCTCCTTGAAATAAAGATAGCTGCTTTCAAGTTTTGCCAGAGGCGTACATCCATACAAAGTGTATCCTGTGTGGGAAGCTGTCTTTGACTCAGATACAAACACAATCGTTTAGCCACAGTTGTCATGGAACAATGCGAGTTCTTTTTACTTCACCTAAAGTTGGCACTGCACTCCTGAGCAGCTTCTTAGTGGGAGGTTTGGCTTTGAACTGGAGCTCAGGTGG